AGCACAGAGGCAGAGAGGGATCTTGGAGTCAGGATCGACTCCAGGATGAATTCGAGTCGCCAATGCAACGAAGCAATAGGCAGAGCCAACCGCACCCTATCATGCATCAACAGGGGCATTACTAACAGGTCCAGACAGGTCTTGGCTCCCCCTCTATGCGGCACTGGTCAGGCTGTGGCTGGAATACTGTGCCCAGTTCTGGGTGCTGCACTTCAAGAAGGACGTGGAGAACCTGGAGAGGGTCCAGAGGAGGGCCACTCATATGGTTGAGGGCCTCCGTGGCCAGCCCTATGAGGAGAGGCTCAGGGACCTGGATCTCTTCAGTCTCCGCAAGAGGAGACTGAGGGGGGCTCTTGTGGCTGCCTACAACTTTATCAGGGGCCACCAGCAGGGACTCGGGGAAAGTCTGTTCACCAGGGCCCCCCTTGGAGTCACCAGGAACAACGGCCACAAGCTGAGGGAGGATAGGTTTAGGGTGGATATTAGGAAGAACTACTTCACTGTAAGGGTGGCCAGAGCCTGCAATAGGCTTCCCAGAGAGGTGGTGCTCTCACCTTCCCTGGAAATCTTCAAGAGGAGACTGGATGGGCACCTGGCTGGGGTCTTATGACCCTGCCACTCCCAGTGCTCCTTCCTGCCCATGACAGGGGGGTCAGACTCCATGATCTGTCCAGGTCCCTTCCAACTCATTGATTCTATTCTATGATTTTACACTGCTTTTTCAGGATGGGTAGAATGTGTGATCTCTGAATTAGCTGTTAAGGACAGTTAAAAAAAAATATTGAAGGCTGGCGAGAAATATTTAAACTCTTCTCAAATACACTAGAGGTGCCAGTAAGAGACATTTCAGAGAGACAGCTAGGAATACCCTGTGTAACCATGTATGAGGAATTCTGAACTCTTCCAAAGAGACATGGAGTAGAAAATCTGAGCACTTAATGAAGATACCAATTTACACACCAGATGTTTCTGGAAAAAGACTTATTCACTAGTTTACATGTACAAGTTATGACCTAGGGCAAGTATTCAGCTAGTTATTTTCTTGTCTTAACTATTATTCCTATTAAAATAAATTAAATGGCATATTGTGTATGGAGGATAGAACAACAAGCTCTCCAATTTTTAATACTTAATTATCATGAACATCTTGGAAGTTGACCAAGTTACAGACCTTTTCACATGTTATACCGATCCAGATGAACTCTGCAAGTGTTCACTGGGGATAGAAGGGAGTGAATACAAGAGGGGTGAAGTTTTAACAAACAAACTAATAATCTAGGCAATAACACAGGTTGTGAAAAAGAGGTGGGAGTTTCTGTTTTCTGTTACATGACCTCGCTGCAATAAATAGGGCTCAGCGGAAAAGACAGGCAGGGATTCCATTTAAAAATCATTTTATTATTAACATAATCTTCCATTTAACCAAGTGTGGGTCATGTATAAGGAATGTCGGTAGATATTCCATATGAAGCTTCTTTTTACATATTTCCATCGATAAATAAACTCTGAATTCACATAAAAAAGTTAAACTTAAATAACTAATATTTTCTCCTTCGAAACAGGCATACATTGGTAAAATATAAATATTCTTGTCTTCATTCTTTGTTCTAAATAAAGATAACAATTAGCCACACATCACAGTTATTAACAACTAAAAACAGGAACTCAAACGATTTTCTGGCCTGGACCAAAATAGAGATGGAAAACAGAAAATTCACATTTTGACTTTGGGCCAAGAGAGGTTGAGGAGGAGGAGGAGAGAACAAGTTTCCATAACAGGCTTGTTAAAAATAGGCTGCTTTGCCACTGAATTTTAACTTGAAAATATTATTTTACATTTGGTGGTTGGTTCCGTTATAGTTTTACGTAACACTCAGATGTCACTTAACAAAATATGGCACGTTATCCAGTTGAACAATAAGCAGGTTTCAGAACTACCGTGGGGCAAAAAGGTAAGTGATACAAGCAATTTGTTTTTGGTTAGTTGTTTTTTCCTTCATTCTAAATTAATATAGCACATCACTTCACTGTTCCATCAGTTTTCCCACAATAATAATCAGAGCGTGAAGTTCATTACCTGAAGTTTTTCAAACCAACCTGCATTATCAGACATGTCGCCAGGATGTCATGTTTCCTCACCCCCAAGTCTAGACGCTGAACCATGAAGAACTGGTATTGAGATAATCGTCTCTTAGAGAACTCTGGGAATGATGGTAAAAGGGACTATGGGGCTGCTGGCTTCAAGCTCCAGTGCTGTCAGGAAGCACTCGGTTGCAGCATCGTCATTGCCCTGAGCTTGCAGAACCTCCCCGAGACCGTTCCAGACCTCGTGGGCTGTAGAATTCACTTGGACAGCATCTCTGAGAATCTTCTCCGCCAAACTGTAGCGTCCTACCTGATGAAGTATCAGAGCCTGTCACAAAATAAAGAGAAGGCAAAAAGGGCTGAAAACTTAGGTTGACCGTAAATGAAAACCTGGTAGTTTGATCTTAATCCTTTGTGGATATTGGTCTTCCATACAACTTCAAAAGGAGACAAACAGCTGTCATTGAGAAAAAGGGTGCCCCCCAAGACTTACGCTAAAGAGGCAGCTCATGCTCTTCACAAACAGGGCTAGATCCAGTAAGTGACTGAGAAGCTGGATGCTGCAATGCTTTTCTTTGAGCCCCAGACCCAGAAAGAAATCCAGAATCCAGAGTTAAGCATGCCAGCACCCTATGTAGCACACAGAGAGTTTGGCACCTCAGAAGAGCATTCCAGGAAACCGCAAGAAGCCATTTAAAGGAAGCCAACAGGAAATGCCAAGCACTGAAGTGGGTCAACTCCTGCTTGCCCCCAGAGCTCAGGTGTCTGACCCAGAATGGCAGGGCAATGGTTCCCCCTGCTCCACATCCAGAGCCCTGGAGCTGTTCCTGCATGTAGATGCAGTATCTGTGCTTTGAAAGAACTGAGTGGGGCTCACTATTTTCTTTTTAAAACATAGTCCTGCCAGTTGCCTGTCTCCTATACCATAGCTGGAGAGTGAGAGCGAGAGAGAGAAAGAGCGAGCTTTTGGCCACACACTGGGAGAACCTAGGTTCTAGGCCCTCTTCAGCCTGAGGGGACTCAAATCCACAGCTTTGAACCCCTGGCACAACAAGCCAGCTTTCATCCCAGGGCTCAACTTCAACAGGAGGGATGGAGAGTGCTCCGATACAGCCTAGTCTGTACGCCTAGCAGGAGGGGGCACTCTCTTGGGAGATGGATGTAAGGGTTGAACTCCTCAAGGTGAGGAAATAAGTTTTCCACTTCCATTTCCTGGGTGAGTGCTCTAACTGCTAGCTACAATAGAAGAGGTGGGTACCATCACCAACCGTATTTAAAAAAAAAATCAAGCTGCCACAATGACATTCTCCAAGAGGCCCTGTGCTGTTGGTGTACGTTAGGTGAGCCCGGAGCATGTGTGCCAGACCCAGCCTCTCAACCTTTTATTTCCGTGAAGCTGTGAAGTTTGTAGAACTACAAACCCAAGTGCTCTGGGTGTCCTCACATCTGAAGGCCCCGGGGCTGGAGTGCAACAGACACCCTTCAACCAGGGGGTAACGGGGCTGTTCCATGGCTCCCCCAGCCCCCAGAGGAGCCTGTCAACTGAACAGGCTCACTGACAGACTTGAGCCTGGCTGCCAGACTGCCCGAGACCTGGCTGGAGCTGCCCAGGAGCCTTTTAAAGTTCCTGTGATGCTGGCAGCCCTGCCATGCTTACTGCCAGGCAGCAAAAACGATGGGTCCAAGTGAGTCTCCTGCACTGACAGGGATTGATCCGAGTCTCTGTTCCACCAGCCCCTGCCCCGGTCACTTAAACAGAGGTAAGAGTGAGGGGATCCCTCCAAGGGGTGACAGAAACTGATTGCAGGGGGGAGCACAGACCCCCCAACCAGGGCTATTTCCAGGGTGGAAGACAGCTCTGCTTCCTGGGTTTGCAGGGCAAGCTGTCAGGGTGCTAGCTGCTCTTACAGGGCACTGCGGGAAAGAAGGGGATCTAAGAAGTAGCCAGACATTAAAAATATCCCAACATGTTGTGGACCCACCATTTTTGTGGCGGATAGGCCATTTCTCTCACAGTAGAAATTCCTTTAATGTCTGACATGTTACTGTATTTGTTGCAGGAAGCTTGCGTACATTGCAGCACAAATGAGGCCTTGGACACTGCTCCACAAATATTTTGGATCCGGGTTGGAGCTAGATGCTGTTCTGCTCAGGCTGGAGTAGTTCTAGGCATGTTGCTGACATCACAGATTCACAGATGCTAGGGTTGGAAGGAACCTCAACAGATCATTGAGTCTGACCCCCTACCCTGGGCAGAAAAGAGTGCTGGGGTCAGATGACCTCAGCCAGATGCCTATCCAGCTTTCTCTTGAAGACCCTCAAGGTTGGGGAGAGCACCACCTCCCTTGGAAGCCCATTCCAGATTCTGGCCACCCTTACTGTGAAGAAGTTGTTCCTGATATCTAGCCTAAATCTGCTGTCTGTCAGTTTGTGATCATTGTTCCTTGTTGCCCCAAGAGGCACCCTGGTGAACAAAGTATCTCTGATCTCTTGCTGTGTCCCCCTAATGAATTTGTAGATGGCCACAAGATCCCCTCTCAGCCTTTTCTTGCAGAGGCTGAAGAAATCTAGGTCCCTTAGTATCTCCTCATAGGGTTTGGTTTGCAAACCCTTAACCATATGAGTGGCCCTCCTCTGGACTCTCTCAAGGTTATCCACATCCTTAGAGTAGGGCGCTCAAAACTGGATGCAGTACTCCAACTGCTGTCTGACCAATCGAGAAGATTTTAAAAAGAAAACAGGTGCCTCCGAGGTTAGGTAGTCATTGACCGGGGGGTATTTTGCTTCCCAGTTCTGGACTTAAGCACCTAAACTTGGCCTGAGGCAGACTTTAGAAGCTGAAGGATTTTTTATCTCACTCCTCATTTCTCACCTTCACGGGACATAGCTGCACAGAATCTTTGCACTGTTCAACTGTTTAACTATCCATCATGAATCCCTGCAGTCTGAATTACTTTGTTGGCAACTACATTAAATTCTTCTGTAAGCAGACTATTAACTGTGCTAGATAATACAGCCTATGAACACCCTGAAGATCAAATTTATGAAGAAAGCAAAGAGTATAATTTTGGCAATAGGTTAAGTCACAACTGCAACGAGGGCTAATTTCTAATAGCCTAATGGATCTTCTGTCAAAGAACTGCTGCAGATCCACGTTTTTTCAGGTGTCAAGTGAGTCAGCACTGTCAGAAATGAACAATGCCGTGACTTAACACAATGCAGGCAGTTGCTCGGGAGTGGTGGGGTATTTGAAAGTAATTGTGTAACTGGCAGGTAAGACAATCAAATTAATTTAGAAAAAATGGGGCAGGGAGGAGGATATGGAGCTCTGTGGACTAGAGTTTGTTTAGTGTAACCTTCGAGTATCCTGAAACCAAAGTCAAAGAATAAAGCGTATTCGTCTGGTTGACAGACAACTTCCTGAATCTTATTTTATGTTTGTTCAAGGTTGATTCATTAGAATATTAGCAATTAAATTTTTCATGTTCAAAGAAATCAACCTGATCTTTTGCCCTGCAATCAAAAGGATTACAAACAAAAACAAATTTAATTTATTTAATCTGTCATTACTTTCTAAAAGTATCCATTTATTTTTAACCTTCTAAGGAAGAACAATAGTGATGCAATTCTGGTGGACATTTTCCTCTGCTGCTGCTGCTTAATAAAAATGTTAGACATTTAAAACTGCTGAAAGATATTGCAGCTAACTGTTCATCCAGAGAACCACTACCACATGGGCAGACAGTAGTAACAAGAATACAATCTTCTCACAATCCTACCAATGCATGTTTAAAATGGAGGGTATTGTCACGACAGAGGCTAAAATAAAGAGCACAGTCTCTCCAGACCTATTCACTTTTGGACCTGTTAGGCCGTAAACAGATATCTTTGACCCAGAACTGACTGCCCCATGGTTTGATTTGAATCAAAAGAGGTGCAAAGTCATTCACCCATATCACCCCTCCAAGCTGCACTGCTGCTCCTTTGTCAGTAAGGGTAGGGACAGAAATTACATGTAAACTAGTATAAACAATTGGAACTGGTTCAAATCTGTAACAACAGAACTTGAGTGTACATAAACCACTTTCAAGATGGATGAAACTGGTCTAAGATAAACCTGGATGGATATAATATCAGACTTAGCTGATTTAGGTTAAATTGGGTTTATTGAACTTTTGCCCCAGATCCCCTCCAGATTCAAATTAACTCACAGTCCCTCAGCATCCCAGGATGCTTTGCTCCTCCCCCCACAAACCCTCCCTTATGGGGTGGGCAGATTAGCTTGGCCAAAGCAGTCTGCCTCAGCTGAGCAGGTAGGTGTGCTCTAGCACCCCCTGGCTTCTGGCCTGGCCACTGCAGGCATGTGGCTGCATTTCTGTAATCAAAAGTGAATGTCTGTTCACTTGTTTATCGGTATCTATGCAGGTTAGACTAACCTACAAAGACTCCATTGATTCACTCTCAGGCTTTTTGACTGCCTGTGTTTAGTCTAGGTGGCCGGCAAGAGCACACAGCCTGACAGGCTTGTCCCTGGAATGAACCACTGTAACCACACAGACGTACATCAGGATGTCCCAGGAAAAAGTGAGGGTACATAACCCGCACACTTCAGAGGGACTTGAAGTAGGAGAGTGGACATGTCCATCTGTATGAACCTGGGGCAAAAGGTGGCTTTCTACTAAGAGAAACGTGATGTCCACAGCCTCAGCTGAATCTTCCCAGAAGACTTTTGCTTATGGTCCCGTACATTAGCAGAACTGTATGGTATGGGCCCTGTGCAAGCATAATTTTTAGGGCCCCAATAAAGTGATACAAAACGCATGTGCACATGCACACATGAGTGTGGGCGTGTACAACAAAACACAAAGTTCCTGAAGTTTTCTTTAAATTTGAAGTTTCACTATGTTCATCAGCCTTTTCGTTCAGGAGTATTATTCTGGAAAGCACCTTCATTATATCAACATAGTGGAACCTCAAAGCAACAACTGATTCTTTTCTTAACAACCAATGCGTTGAACATGCTCTTTTCAAAGTAATGATACTGATGAGCTCTGAGACAGAAGCTAATTCAGATAACACGGTTCATCTCTTTACACTCTGTCCAAAGAAAGTGTAAACTTTTTCAATCATGTCATTAAAAATGTTGCGGGTTTTTTTAGGTTCAAACATGGAGCTTCATTATTGTCTAGCCTTTCAGTTAAATGATGCCAGTCTCCAACACCTGTGACCCATGTCACATTATATGGGGAAGAATTATGGTGAGGTAAAAGCCAACATGACTTGCAGTATGCATGGTTCAAATTCAGTGAATAACACAGGCATGTAAGG